CACTTCTTTTTTTCTTTTGCCATTTATTACTTCCTTTTGCCATTTCTTGGTTCCTTTTGCCATTTCTTGGTTCCTTTTGTCAATCTTGGTTTCTTTTGTCACTTCTTTATACCTTTTGACACTTCTTGGTTTCTTTTGCCATTTCTTGGTTTCTTTTGCCATTTCTTGGTTCCTCTTGTCACTTCTTTGTACCTTTTGCTATTTCTTGGTTTCTTTTGCCACTTCTTGGTTCCTTTTGCTACTTTTTGCTGGACTTTTTGTGTTGCCACATTTTGACTCCTTATTAATAATATTATTGTACAGTTATTATCCTTTGCTGTTCTTGTAATTTCTACACATATCCATTTATATGTATGTGTTTCTTGCTGTAATTATGAGCTTTTTGAGCTTTCTACATAGCATTATGTGGATATTTGTTGTTTTAATAAAGAATTCTCTCTCCCCCCCCCCACCCCCCCCACAAGCTTTCCAGGGGATGTAGTTGTGGTAATTTAGAATCCTCTTAGCAAGCCAAATAGCTTTCTCTGAGTATTAGTTGTAATCAAACATTTTTGGGCAACTCTGTGGGCAATAGTTGTTGTATTTAAGAATTCTTTGGGCAACCAAGATAACTTTCTAATTTAGAATTTTGTGAGAAACCGAAATAGCTTTCTGTAGATATTAGTAGTAACTAAGAATTATTCAATAGATTTTTTACTGATGAGCTGAAGAGAGTTGCGGGAGAGGGGGGGGGGGGGGGGACACACACATGCAAGCGCCCTCCACCACCACCACTTTCCCATTTATACTAGATATAGTCAGATTAACATGAGAAAATATGAATAGCTTCCAGTTGTTTGTTTTTCATATCAGCTTGTGGTAATCTAGGCAGGATTATTATTACATACCACAGACAAATCCCAAGTGTCCGAAATGGATGCATGTGTCATCTCATTTCAGCTGTGTTTGACTTGTGTCATGCTGTTCTGCTCTATCTTGTTTGTTTTATTGGCATGAGGGAATCAGACAAATATAGTAAATGGGTTTCATGTAAAGGATTTGTAAGTTCTAGAAATGGTTTTACATTGTGCAGGGCAAAGTGGTCAGATCGTTTACTTCAGACTTTGAAAGTTCATTTCATGGACGAAGCATTAAGTTCACAGTTGCAGGTTTTGTGGAGATTGCCGGGGATCATTGCTGGAGCAATATAAAAAATAAAAGTGATTATTTGCTCAGAAACGTAGATGGCTTTGAAACAGATTCTTGGCTTTCTTTATTGACCACATTCTCATCAATCAACAGGTCTTTTAAAGAATGTGGCTCTCTTTACGGCATGCCTGAAAGTCCCTCTGTCTTGGGCCAGTTCTCTAGCCCTTTGTGCTTTCATAGTCGGTGCATCTCTCCAGTATCTTGTAGCCACCTTCACGAAGGCCTGCCTCTGCTGCACCAATGTCTCCAGGCTTCCATGTTTAATATGGCTAAAATACCTCATTAGATTGGGTAATAGATCTTGTGAAGGAGAAATGAGTTCACTAAACATAAACTGTCTAGGAAGCTCCATTACATTCCCCCCATACCCACCACCACTACCACCACTACCATCACCCTTGTTTCGGCTGAGGCTTAGAATTATTCTTCTTGTTTTAGGCCTGAAAGGCAACGATTAGGAATGTTTCATTCAAATTCACAGCGTGTTTTCCTAAGAGGTGAAGAACCAACAATCTGCCTTGAGATAAGCTCCATCTGTAAAATGGATATGCATACAATACTCAGCTTGTGGAATAGGAGTCCAAAAGTGGGTGAACAACCAGAGCTTTCCACCAGCGTTTGCAGCCGGTGAAAGCTAACAAGAACAGGATAAAGACTTTGGCCAAAATGTTCGACTGTATCTATGTGTGTGTTTTTTTCTTTCCTCCCTTGCTGAGGTTTCCAGTCAAAGTTTGTCAGCTCAACAGTAGTGACCCCTGCTGCTTTTGATATCATTGACCCCTGTTTTCAACACTTTTCAAAGAGATAAGTCACTCTTAAGTGGTAATTTTGGTAATGAAGAGAGCAGTGTCACGGTGTCAATGTGTCTGAATTTGTTGAGACATATTTCAAATATCTGCTCTGACATCAGAATGACTATCTTCCAGGTTATCACCGCTCAAGTTGGAAAAATGGCATGCAAGTTAAGTCGGAATTACTTCTTACCATTTTATCTGTCAATTTTTGGGTGTGTCTGCATATCAAGCTACATTTTTTAAGATGAAAAATATTTTTGTGTGTTTCCATTTTGTTGTTGGATGTTATAAATTGCTGAAATTAAGTGTCAACCTTTTTTTATGATGTTTGGCATGTTTATATTAAAATGTAGAAAGAGCAGACATGTGGGTACTTTAGATAACCCGAGTTACTAATGATTTGTCTGTTTAAATTAATGAGAGTAGATCATTACAGTAAAACCGTCAGGAAGAGTTCATTAACATACCTGTGTGGAATAGTGGAAAATTACATGGTATGAAAGAATCACTAATGTGAAGTTTGGGAGAGAACTGAACAAATTCTAGTTACTCAGGATGTCAGGAAGATGTGCCAGATAGGACACATGTTAAGTAAACCTGTGAAAAGTGTCACTAGAATGTCCTTAAACTGGAACGCCTAGGATAAAATTAAGAATCAGAAAGAAAAAAAAAAAGCACATGGAGAAGCGAATTGAGAATGTCAGAAAGACATGGAAAACATGATGTGATAGCAAAAGATAGGACAGGAAGTCTTCATGGCAAGCCATTTGCCCCCATGCTCTGAATGTTGTAGGTTCATTTCACAACTGCGCCATTGGGTTCATAAGTGCAGTTTTGATGTAGATCCCTGGGAATTTTCGCTACAGCTATGAAGTTTGTGCTTTGTGCGAAGATCTCGGCAGGTGGCTAGCTGTTCTGTGGAGAGAGACTGAGCCGCATGGGATAACACTGAGTGCAGCGAAGTTGATCCTCTCAGCTTTAACTTTTAAAGGACAAGGAAGCTTGCCCTGAGTTCATAGAGGGCCTATACTCCATCAGTGGATAGAGGCACAAGAAGAAGACAAAGAAGGGGCATACTGTTTAGTTGTATGATGAGAAGAGAGACCTAGCAGAACATCAGGGCAACTGGAAAGATCTGCAGTAGAAGAGAGAGACTGAAAGAAATGATAGTCCAAGATGGTGGTGAGGATAGATAGAATTTATGCATAGAATTGAATGACAAGGATAAAGATCTGTAGAGCGACATGGAGGATTACACAGTCTGTCAAAGCATATCATTAGGATGATAATGTGCATATCTGTATTACATACGATATTGATGACTAATAAAAATTATGTGTGATCTGTTCATATATCTGAGCGGTGTGTCTCTGGTCTGTTTATATATATCTAGGCAGTGCGTCTGGTCAGTTTATATCTACTGGGTAGAAAACCTCTCTTTCACAAAAGAATGACAACAGAAAATATGTGTAATACATGGGACCTTATTATTTTAACTAAAGCCAAATGTAATAAAATAAATGACCTTTCTAATTAAATTAAAACTAAATTTAATACCTAGAACCTTTCTTATTAATCTAACTCCGATACTTATGACTTTTCTAATTAATCTGACTCAAAATGTAATACTTATAAACTTTCTAATTAAACTAAACCAGAATGTCATAATATAAAGCCTTTCTAATTAAACTAAAACGTAAGGTTATACATTCTAATTAAATGTATACGTCTTCTTGAGGCCCAGGACTCATGGACTTTTAATTATCTCAGCTACTTCTGGCTGTATTCATTCAGTTTGGTAAAGTTGGCTGCACCATTCATTTCCTGTAGTATAATGTTTCTTCTTCTTCAGCGATCTCTGGTCATGCGCATAATCCACTGTGGGTCATAAACTGGGATGTTTTTTCAAGGTCTCTTAGGTTTCCCCAAAGCTTAGTTGTCAGTTCTACTGGGTGTTGCCATATGTCGCTCCCCAGCTCCGCCAGGAGAGGACAGTCTTGCAGGACATGTTCTGGAGTCTGTTCAGCACGAAGACACTGGCAGAGAGCTGTTTGGCTCATACCTAATTTATATGAGTGTTTATTGAGTCTGCAGTGTCCAGTGCATAAGCAAAAAACTGTGACTTGGTCTGTTCTGTTCAAGTGCCTCAGAAAATCTTTTCCGTAGTTATAACCAGTGTTGTTTTTCCAATCTGTTTCTGATTTTCTCTTAATAAGAGTTTTTACTTCTGGAAAAGATAGTGGCTGGTAGGTCTGTAGTTTGTTACTGCCTTCCTTGGCTAAAGCATCTGCGCTTTCATTGCCTTTGATGCCGCAGTGAGACGGAATCCACTGCAAGTGAATTTCTGCCTTATTTGACAACAAAGCAAGTTCCAGTGTTATGTTAGACTTTGTAGTGTGCTGTCGGTAAGTTTGGACTCAAGGGCCTGTACAGCTGAGAGTGAGTCAGTGAGAAAAACTATCCTGCCTGCGGTGATTTTCAGATTGTTCATATAGTATAATGTTTAATCTTGGGCTAAACTCTGATTGTGTTTGGATTTGATACCACTTGTAATGACGCACATATATAAATTACAGCCATAGAAACCATACAGTCATATAAAATGCAATAATTAATGGGTAAATCTAGTCATGTAAACTTGCAGTCAGATCTTTAATCCAGTTACATAAACTTTCAATAACAATTTGAATCTCATCACATAAAATTGAAATTGTGGGATAGGCTGCTTGCCTGTCAGGCAGATACGCTCCATCTTCGAATGATATTATATCTGAAATCTAGCACTTCACATTCCAACAACCAGCTTCTAGTGATCACGGGTGTAAGGCCTTCTTCTTTCTCCTGCTTTGCCAGGTACACTTGGATTATAAAGCTAACTATTCAAGATCACATTTATTGCTGGCTTATTTATTGATCACACTGGTTTCTTGCACCCTGCTGTAAATCTTCTTTTTACACATGGCTAACCAAAGTTAGCACAAGATAAATAATTGATTATGATATTTTCTTCTTTTACAGAACACTTCCATGTGTTTGTAGGGGACCTCAGTGCTGAAATTGAACAACATCAACTGAGAGATGCCTTTGCTGTATATGGCGAAATCTCGTAAGTTTGAAATTGTTTGTGCTCGTCAGGGCTCTTATTTTGATGGAGGTGTTTGCCTCTTTCCTGAGTCGTTCTGTTTTAGTTTTATTGATAATTTTGTTTGCAGATCATTGTACTACCTGTAAAGAAGACCTGTTGTTATCGGAGCAAAAGTGGCTAAATATGTTTACTGAAAGTGATATTCACTGCCCTGACTACTTAGCCACTGCCTGGTCTACAGAATTCATTGCATGGAGAAAACATTCATGTAAAGACTACACTTGTTTGATCACAAAATATGAAATCATTTAATACAATTGCAAACATGAAATAGGTTTTATTTTCTCAGCTAGATCTTTCCCTCAGCTGTAATCATCTGATTGTTTCACAGGCAGATTTTAATTGAGGTTAATATTTCATAAAACTACTTGACTGTAGTAAAGAAAAAAGAAACATTTTCTAGTTGCTTCAGCAGAAAGAATTACTTTTAGCATGGTAAGTTAAGTGTTGACACATCATCTTACACAGTTGCCTTATGTGTTACTTTATGATGTGCAAGCTTCAAGATTCTGCCGGGACTGACCAGTTTTTCCACCAGTTTTCACTTGGGGCAGTGAGGGACATTTTGTGTGATTTATGCTGGCACAGGAACGGAGCAGTTTTGGGGCATCTGCAGTGATGTTGGAACCACAAGTGATGTGGGAACCACGAATTATGTTGGAACGACGACTAATGACTCAGCAGTAAGAGTATGTCTTTCATTGAGACTTTCATCTTCTGCATTGCATTAAATTGTACTTTGCAAGATTTAGAGTGGTCCTTTGGCAAATACATGCTCTCGACTCTGATATATGATGTAGACTGACCAGTTAGTTACCCCTAGTTACGGATTTATTTTTTTGGGTCATCATTACACACTGGTTATAATCCTTTTAGGGCAGTGGTTCTCAACCTGTTGGTCGAAGGACCCTTTCAAATGGGTCGCCTAAGATTTGGAAAACACATATTTACTGAAGCTTAAAGTGGCAATGAAAATAATTTTTTTGTTGGGGGGGGGGGGGGGGGGGTCACCACAGCATGAGGAACTGTATTTGAGGGTCGCAAGATTAGGAAGGTTGAGAACCACTGTTTTAGAGAATCAAAGCTGGGATTTTTATGCTAGAAGATGCCTGTGCCAAGACTCAGCCACTGAGACGCTCAAAGGAAATAGTAATAATATACTGTGCATAAAGATTAAATGTACATTTCTTCTTTTTGTTTATTTTCTTACCTTTAGTTTTTCCAGTATATGCCATTATTTTGTTAAGTTTATTGTCAGTCTGTCATTTCCTGCATGTCTGAAGTTTTATGTTGTGTACATACAGTTTTATCTTTTTGCCTTTTAATGCATTAAGTGACGACTTAAGCATTCTTTGTTAAATGTCTGGTAGGGGTCATGATTCTTGAGTGTGTTTAGTTCATTTTCATTGTATCCCTGTCTGTGTCTTCTCTATATTTTAGTTCCTTTAATACTCCTATCTCTCAGTCTTACTTGTATTTTGCCATATCTCTGTGTAACTTTCTCTTTTTATGACGTGTCTCCCCTTATTAATATTCTACCATTTCTTATAACTCTATCTCCCTGCTTTCATAGTATTTTGTAAGTTCATTATCATTGCACCTGCAGGTCTACTTTGAATTTTTTTTGGGAGAGGGGGGGGGGGGGATTTATTAGGGCTGTACCGAATAGTGATTTTCACTACTCGGCCGAATATGAATAGTGGGACCAACTATTCGGCCGAATACGAATAAATAGTATATCATCAGCATCAGGTGTCTTGCCGACTGCGTGGGCAATCATGCCTCTCCACAATCTGCTATCTCCTGCTCTCTCTCTCTCTCTCTCTCTCTCTCTCTATATATATATATATATATATATATATATATATATATATATATATATATATATATATATATATATATATATATATATATATATATATATTTGATTTGATATTTTAATTTGATTGATTACACATAAATTCATACAGGAGGATCATTTGACATGTCTGGGGTGATAGATGTTTCAGTGGCTTGTTGAAGTCACAAGGGAAAACACATTTGAAGTTTCATTGAAAATGTGATTGACAGTGTAATGGATGTTTCAGTGGTCTGTGGTGGTCGCATGAAGAAAACAAATTTGACATGCTTCACTGAAAATATGTAATTGATGGTGTTTAGTGGAGGGAAATTGTGTAAGTGCTGGGCATCCATGGCAGTGTAAGCATATGGTTGTTTCATAGAGATGCTTCATAATGGGCTATTCTATCCCTGGCAAGGTCATCAGGCCTGTTTTCTTTATACAAATTCACTGTTTTGAATTCATGTTTTTTTTTTTTTTTTAAAGACTGAGTAGTGTTCAGCCTGTGTATAGTTTTTGCCGGGAATTGGGGAAAAAGAGAGAGAGAAAGAGAGAACGCCAAATAGGTTTAAATTTGATGCAATAAAGTCATCTTTTCACATCTTCACATTTCATTACACACCAGATGTTTGTGTAATGTGAGAACAAATATGACAGGGGAATTGGAGAGAGGGAGATATAGAATGCCAAATGGGTTTTAATTTTTATGCAATAGTCATCTTTTGACATTTCATTATATGCCAGATTTCAGTAATGTGAGAACACTTATTACCAGGGGAATTCGAGAGAGAGAGAGAGAGAGATGTGATGCAGTGAAGTCAACCTTATTACGTGTAATGATAAAACAGATTTCAATAATGTGAGAATACTTATCACAAGTGTTAACATTGTTTCCACTGTTATTATTAGCACATCATCATCCTCATCCTCTTATGCCATTATATGTTACATAGTGCTGTCAGTCCATTTTTGTATTCAGTGTAGCCCTGCACAGTCCTTTCAATATCATGGATGGATCCACTACATTGCCCCTGGTCTCTCTCTCTCTCTCTCTCTCTCTCTCTCTCTCTCTCTCTCTCTCTCTCTCTCTCTCTCTCTCTCTCTCTCTCTCTCTCTCTCTCTCTCTCTCTCTTTCTTGCTCTCTCTCTCTTTCTTGCTCTCTCTCCTCTCTCTCTCTCTCTCTCTCTCTCTCTCTCTCTCTCTCTCTCTCTCTCTCTCTCTCTCTCTCTCTCACTGACACACAGACACACACTCACACACACCCCCCAACTGCATAATTTTTCAAATGAACTGTCGTAACATAGCAGCTATAAGATGATGAAACAGTGCAGTAATATGTGGTTCTTTCTCCCTCCAGCAGCAAGATTGGTTTGTTTTATGAGTTATTAGGACTCTGGGGTTGAACTAGCCTCATAAATTGTGTTTAAAAGTAAAGGACCCCTTTCCAGGCATTTAGCTATAGAGGGCTAGACCAATATTTTATAGACCTATCTGCACGTGGTCTGTGATATGGTCAGCATCATGCCACCCGCCTTTACTTCCCATGACTCACCTGGTACCCATTTAAGACTGGGTTGACCTGGGAGCCACTAATTTAAAAAAAAAAAAAAAATCTGATATTGCCAGGACTCAAATCCATGACTTTCTGAAAAGCAGGTGAGCAACTAGCTGCTACACAACAGTGGCTCCCTCTGATTACAAGATGTCTGGGTTAATAAATGGGTAAAAATAATAAATGATATGGGTATATTTTGTGCTAAAGTCTCATAAACTTGATCATTCAGTACTTTTATGTCTGTGTTGACATGAATCATGATTGTCTCTCTTTAATTAGTTATACAAGCCTTCTGTTTGGATTAATATGGGGATTCTTTCTTGAAGTGAAATCATATAAACTGGATATTTGATTTTATTTCTCGTCTTTTGTGGTACTGCATTTGTGCCTCATTATTGGAGAATCCAAGACTTTTTTGGATTCATATGACCTTTATTAATTCAGAATCAAGGACTTTGTTTCTGGATTATGTTATGAAGCCTTATATAAAGTTGATTTGCAGTACATTGTGTCAGGGTGGATGTGATTCTGGGGGTTCAGCCTAATTACATGAGGAACCAAGACTTTGTTTTTGGATGATGTTATGAAGCCTTATATAAAGTTGACGTCCAGTACACTGTGTCAGGGTGGATGTGATTCTGGGGGTTCAGCCTAATTACATGAGGAACCAAGACTTTGTTTTTGGATGATGTTATGAAGCCTTATATAAAGTTGACGTCCAGTACACTGTGTCAGGGTGGATGTGATTCTGGGGGTTCGGCCTAATTACATGAGGAACCAAGACTTTGTTTTTGGATGATATGAAGCCTTATATAAAGTTGACGTCCAGTACACTGTGTCAGGGTTGATGTAATTCTGGGGGTTCAGCCTAATTACATGAGGAACCAGGACTTTGCTTCTGGATTAATACAACTCTCAGGATGAAGCTGATTAATTGACAGTTATTTTAAATGTTTACAATCCTCTGACTATATCATACCACCCCTCTAACAGTAGATACAAGTGGATCACACCCATATGACAGTATTTGCGTTGGATTATCTTTACTTGTGTATTTGTTGAACATCTACAGCCAGTTGTGAGCAAAATACCACAGATTATGAGCTGAGCGCTCAAGACTTAGCATTTCCAGTCCAAAAAGATATTTCACAAATCTATGTTTAAAACAATGCATTTGGTGAACTCATGCATAACAATCTCTGTTCAGAATGATTTTCTGCCATTTGCACATTTTTCTAACCACAATCTTTGATTTTCCTAATGACTCAGAAACACAAACACACAAACACTCAGGCAGAGAAAGGAATATGCCAGTCCATGAACACAAGTTTAACATTGAATTTAATTGTCTGCCCTTATTTTCATATTCATGCAGATGACAGCCTCGTAGATACAACTCTGTTATCTCCTGGATTATAGGGCTATAACATGTATGCCTTTCTTTTGTTTCCCTTTTGTTTTTTTCAATCTTTCCACCTGCATATTTTTGGAGTTTCTTGTAATTTTTTTCTATAAACTTTTTACAGTCATAGTTTTTTCAGTGCTCATTATTTTTCTTTTCACTCT